CTGACGCCGCTGGCGGACGAGGCGGTATCAGCGGCAGACTGCCACCAGCCCCGCCCGCGTCACACTGGGGCCGGCCGGCCGGAAACACGTCTGCGCCCGCCCCCCGGCCCCGTCGCCCCGGGGACATGCAAATGACGGCGCCGGAGGCGGGGCCCGGCCTGACGTCCCGGTTGCTCGGTGACAGTTGCGTATCCCGGTTGCTAGGGGCGTCTCCCAGCCCCTCCCTCCCAACAAGGCCGAAGCGCTCTCGGGAGCGCGCTCGTGACCCTAGTTCCACGTTCGTGCGCTGCTGCGTGGCTTCCGCCAATCAGTCAGCCCCCCGTGTCGCCGTCACGATGCCCACCCCCACTTGAGCCTGCGCCGCGCCACCCGAGGCTCCGGCCCCCTGTGCACGGGACCCCTCCGGACAGCCGTCCCACCGCGACGCTGCAGTCATGGCCTGGAGCGGCACGCCAATACACGCCGTCGTTCTGGGGACTTGCTCAGGACCCGTGGGGGAGCCTCCTGCGCCCCGGCCAGCCCTGCACTGTCACCGGGAGAGACTGCTGCTCTGGGCCCTCCCTGGCTCCCTGACCCTCGCCATCTCCTGCCCTTCCCTCTGACGACAGGTGTCCCACAGCCCCTCTGACGCAAAGGGACCAGAGCAGGCCCGTGGGTATTTTCAAACACGTTAGTGACATAAAGCCCCAAGGGCGTGACGCAGGCCAGGGCTGGCCCAGCTGGCTGGGAGCGAGTGAGGTGCCGGCGTCAGCAGCTACTCCCAGGCCGGGGCCACCTGGGAGAGGGCTGTAGCCATGAAGAAGTGGCTGAGCAAGGCGTCGTTGTGCACAGCCCCGTCCTCCAACTGCTCCAGGGTATGGCCTCGTCTCCCGCCAGCTCTACGACCGTGGCCGTCAGGGACTTGACGATGTCACCGAGGGAGACCGGCACGCACGAACTTGGGCGCTGGGCCTAGTGGCCTCCCTCAGGCAGGCGGGCACAGGCGGCGCTCCAGGTGGCTCACAGAGAGCGTCAGCTCGGCTCGGGCCAGGATGACCCTCGACGGCTCCTCCTGTTCGGCATGCAGGGCGTTGGATGCGACAGATCCGGATGGGGAGGTCTGGCTGGAGGGGACGGCTCTGGACATGCCTGCACTCCTGTCCTAGTGACCACTCTGGTCCCTCATCGGTCAGTAGCAGGCTCGTGGCACGCACACTGTTGACGCCACTGCCCTCCAGCTGACCCCGAGGGAGCGGGCCTGGGCCTCCAAACGGCAAGCCAGGGAAGGTGCCAGGCACCCACGTGCACCCTCACCTCTGGGCCCTGCCTCTGCCACAGTGCTCCCACCTGTAGCACCCGAGCCACACAGGAAAGGTAAAGGCATGGGGGTCAGGTACCACCCGTGGCCTCAAGGACATTCACCATCAACCATCTGCTTCCAAAGCACGTTCCCCACCCTGCAAAGAAAGCCCTGTACCCATTAAGTGGTCACTCCCTGTTGTCGTCGTCCCCCACCCCCATACACACACATACACACGCTCCCAATAAATAGCTCTAGGCAACCACTAATCTGCTTTCTGTCTATAGAGGTGTCTCTCTTGTGGAGATCTCCCTCCAATGTGTCCGGCTGCTTTCACGTAGGGTAAAGTTCTCCTGATGGTGCGTCCGCATGGTAGTGGGAATGGGTTCTTCCTTCCTTTTCATGGCTGAATAATATTCCATTGTATGGATGGACCACCTTTTGTTTCTATATTCGTCCATTGATGGGCATTTGGGTTGTTTCCCCCTTTTGGCTATTGAGGATAGAGCACCTCTGAACATTCAGGTAAGAGTTTTTGTTTGAACACCTGTTTTCAATTTTGGGGGGTCTACATCTAGGCGTCAAACTGCTGGGTCATGTGCTAATTCTATGTTTCACTTATGGAAGAACCGCCAAACCGATTTCCGCAGCGGCTGTACCCTTTTGCATTCCCAAGAGCAGTGTATGAGCGTCCTAATTTCTCCACAACCTCCACAAAACGTTTTTCCTGTTTGCTTCCTTGTGTTTATATAACAGCCATCCTATTCGATGTGAAGTGCTCTCTCATGGTGGTTTTGACTTGCATTTCCCAAATGGCTAATTATGTTAAGCATCTTTCCATGTGGATGACTAAACAGCTCAGAACACTTTTCAGGGACTCGCACTGTGCTAACAAAGTACTCTAACGTATGTGCTTGAACAAAAAAGCATATCACTGGAACACGCCTGCTGCCAGCCAGACGGATGGACAAAGAGCAACACACAGTTTAAGGGGCTGGCCAGTTGGCTCAGGTGGTTGGAGCACAGTGTCATAACACCAAAGTCAAGGGTTTGGATCCCCATACCAGTCAGCCGCCAGGAAAAAGAAAAAAAAAAGGTGAAAACCCAGGTTAGGACCTGTCACCACCAAACCCAACCTAAATAATTAGTTGCTAAATTGCTAAATAATAGAAAAACGTGTAAAGTTCAGTTTCACTTGTGAGGTGGACCCAGATGGGGTACTCTTGAGGGCCTGAAAAATTCTTTATACCTGTTCCATATGGAGAACCCAAGAGACCTCACCCCTATTCTTCCTCATTGCCTTTTTTGGGGGATCAGTACAGCATGCAGGCAGGAAAATAAGAACAGAAATGTGCTAGAACAGTTCATGTGCTAGAAACATAATCCCCAGTGCAACCGTGTTCGGAGGTAGGAACTTTAAGAGGTGCTTAGGTCACAAGGCTCTGCCCTCATGATGAATTGATGCCGCTATCAAGGGAGTGGATTAGTTATCGTGGAGTGATCCCCAGCCCCCTCTCTCTCCGCTCTCTCATGCTCTCCTGCCCCTCTGCCTTGTCTGCGGGATGACTCAACAAGAAGCCTTCTCCAGACACAGCCCCTCGACCTTGGACTTTCCAGCCTCCAGAACTGTAAGAAGTAAAGATCTGTTCTTTATAAATTGACTCACTCTCGATTATTCTGTTATAGCAGCACAAAATGAACTAAGACGGGGAACAGCAGAGATTTAAGCTGGAGGAGAAGAAAAGAAGGTGGCAAGTGTCCCTCACTGAAAAAGCAGCTGTGCGTGAGGCATTTGTCATACAAGGTCGGGGTAGGTAGACGAGGACTCTTGAGAGGAAGAACAAGTGTGTGGCTGACACAAGACAGTGGTGACGTCAGGGAGTCGGGCCCAGTGACACAGCTGGTAAAATGGACTAATGGGAGACTTTTTCTTATTCACTAGAAAAAAAATTAGCAAATTGGCCAAAAGTTTGGAATTTTAAACGTTCGCTTCACAATTGAAAACCCAACAACATTTTGTGATTGCGAATAGGTCCCAGTGGACATAAAACAAATGGACAATGGAGTGACATTGAGGAAAAACTCAGAAAGCAACCACTCATACTAAAGAGCATGGTTTTCTTCAGTGAACATATGAAGCTCAGGGTTTTAGTTTTATATTAACTGCATGAAATACACTCACCTTTTCCTGCTAAGAGGCACTATCGTAGTTAACATTTATTTAATACTTACTGTGTTGTGTATTCTGCAATGGGCTAAATGCTTTCTATGCAAAAACTCAATTAATCCTCATGATAATCCAAAGATAAAATTCAAGTTTTATCCCCATTT